GAGCTGCTCTGGCGTCGCCAGGGACTCTGTCAGCTTCGGGTTTCGTGCTTGAAGCAGCACAGCCCTTCGCTGTCAAGGCCCGAAGGCCTGGAACCTCAGCGGCCTGCGGGCCGTTCCCTCGGGAGGCTCCGGGAGAGGATGCGGGAGCAGTGGAGAGGAGGGAGGCAGCGCTCCCGCGGCCCCCACCCCACCGGCGGAGCCGCTTCTGCTGTCACACCTCCCGCCGCCTCCCTCTCCCGTGGTCCTTAACTTTGTTGTTTCCGTAGAGTTTCGTTTGCCGTTAAGGTACCATATCCACAGGTTCTGGGGACTCAGTTCATAGAATTCCTGGGAGAGGTCGACGTGGTAGTCATTCTCACTTTAGTATGAATAACCATAGTCGGCTCTTTCTGCGTTTCCTTTTGTGCTATGAGAAGGCCTTCTAAAGGAAGGGGATTTGGGCGTGGTCACTCTGGGGAGGAGAAAGAGAGGGAATGTGCAGTGCAGGACACCCCAAGAACTGGTCCTTAGTGGCCCCTTGCCGGGGTTTAGTGGGCCTGGGGCTTGAGTGTATCAGGGGTGCCTGGTATCCCCCTGGGGATTGTCCTCCAGTGCCTACTTTTTAGTGGCCCATGGACTCCGGGTGACCACCTGTGCCAGGCAGAGGTGTGGTCTGGGTCCTTCCTGAGAGAGCGGGCCTGGACGAGAGCCTTCCTCAGGACCAGCCCTTCCGAGTGTCCCAGGTTCCGCCTCTCCTCCCATCTTTTGTCCCCTCTGTCGCTGCTGCCGCGGCCGTCTTTCTCTGAAACGGTCACTGAGCCGTGGTCTGCGCCTGAGTCCTCAGCCTTTACGCCCCCTCAGTTTCCCGGGCTTTCCTGGCTGCGGGCCAGGCCAGGTGTGCTTGCTCTGACCTCGGGCAGCAAGGGCGAGCGGCTCCAGGCACTGAGGCTCCCCGGGCGGGCGGCCGCCTTGAGAGGCTGTGGCCAGGCCAGGTGTGCTTGCTCTGACCTCGGGCAGCAAGGGCGAGCGGCTCCAGGCACTGAGGCTCCCCGGGCGGGCGGCCGCCTTGAGAGGCTGTGGCCAGGCCAGGTGTGCTTGCTCTGACCTCGGGCAGCAAGGGCGAGCGGCTCCAGGCACTGAGGCTCCCCGGGCGGGCGGCCGCCTTGAGAGGCTGTGGCCAGGCCAGGTGTGCTTGCTCTGACCTCGGGCAGCAAGGGCGAGCGGCTCCAGGCACTGAGGCTCC